AGCTGCAACTGCACAATCCAAGACCTGCCACATCCATACCGAATTATGCTAGCACACGCACAGGGCCAACAGCATGTTTCAGCAAGTTCCATTGTTCATGGTTCTGTGGACTTCGACATCGGCCAGAAAGGACAAGTTCGTGCCGCACTATTGGAGGCTTAGGTGTTGAAAGATCTCTGTTCTAGGGCCTGAACGCTCAATCGACCCCGAATATCTTTTTAAAGCTCGTCACAGAGACGCTCAGCGTTAGGCTTGGGAAGCAGATGTTCAGCAAGTGTCGCTCGGTGCCGTGCTGAGTGGGCGAATGAACATTCAGGACTTGTGTCTGATCTCACACCCTTTATATTCATGACTTGAGCTGATGGGCATCACCATGCTGCAGAGATCATTCTTATGGAACTGCGGGCCTGGAGGCGTGGCGATTTGGATCTGAAGCTAGTTTGGGCATGCTCCTGTCGTGTGTGTGTGTGTGTGTGTTGGTTGCAATCGCGGTCAAGAGGTGCCGGCAGGTCGAAGAGTTTACGGCCGAAGCAAATGAGCCATGTTGCATCGCTGCCTGCGTTGCTAAGGGTGCCCTAGATATCCCGGAAGCTTAATGCTTCTGCCAAAAGCACAGAATCTTCCCCCTGTTGCTGATGGGAAGTCGCATGCCAGATCCCAAACTTTAGGACACACAGTGGCCGAGCAGTGTGGCGCGGACAGTCCCAGAAGCTGCCTCTCCGATGCTCCTGAAGCGTCGCCAACAGGCACCGGAGATCAGTCTTCCACGAACAGGCCTTGCTGTGAAATAGCCACGGGATAATGTCCAGGCTTGAAGGTTGGAGCAGTAGGCCCACCGGATACTGCAGCAACTATTTTGTACTTCGTGTATATTGGTCTGACAAAGAGCAAGACGACGAGCTATGCAAGCTAGAACTGCCAGTGCCTTTCTCTCCGGGTTGTTAACGCGATGGGGCTCGCGCACTTTGAACACCACCACAAAATCCTTGCACTGCGGCACGGCGCTCCCGGACTTTGATCACATGCCCGCCACTGTAGTGCGTGTTTTGGTGTTTTTTGCGGTCTCCGATTTCGGTTCGATCACGTTTCATCGTGTCAGTTTCTTTGATCTTTGTCAGGGAAGCCGAGTGACCTCAAGTGTGTCGACAAGTTCTGTAAATGCCATCTTCGGCGCTACGACTTGCTGTTCCGATTTGATTGATTAACTGGTAAGATCTTGTACAGCCCATCAACATCTTGCAGCCAAAGTGCCGCATGAACCTGCAAGCATCAAACAGCTGATCGCCATTACACAGCTAAGCCAGAATAAACATTCAATGTATCATAAGCCTCCGCAGCGCAGTGGATGTCAGAGGCCATCTCTTGCTTGAATCGCTGCAGGCTGGGATGAATGGCAGAAAGTGACGGTGTCCAAGGCTTCGCAAGGCTGCCCTCCGCCTCCCCGGTGGAAACATGTACACCCGCCCGTTGCATAACTCATTCGCTGCTTGGAGTGCCGTGCTTCGGTGCAAAGCCGCAGACCATCAATTTCAATACTTTGGAAAGGTTGGCGAGGTGTGTGGATGATGGAAAGCCGTTGCCAACAGGGCTTCCGGGGATTCAGGGTTTGGAAAGGCTTAGAAGCGTCGCAGAGTAGATCAGTCGATGACATGTCCTTCAAGGTAGAGCAGCGGCGCCTGCCACCGAGCTGCTAGATCCGTAGGAGACTCTGGGTAAGTCGTCCTGAGTCCCCGGACCTTGGAACCGCATGCAGTGCCCATTAGGATCACACTGTTTGCCCGACCCGAAATCCGCGACGACCACAACGCAAAGCTCAAAAGATCAGGTAGTGTTCGCTGACCCGTGACGCAGCCCCATTTCCCTAGCCGAACCGAAGCCCGAGACCCGAAGCCGGCTTTGAGCTCATCTTGATCTTTATTTGATCTTTATATGAAAAGCCATGCTTCAGGCACGAATCTCGGTCGAGAATCACCAAGCTGTGCCTACACAGTGTGCAGCCTACTGCCAGCCACGTCAGCCCAAGGTGGTATAGTCGGGTTGCGATAACAACCCAATGGAGCTTTTTGACAGGTTCCAAAGGTGGATTTAGCATGCGTCGCGCGGCTGTTTGTGCATCGCACAACGTCTACTTGCGGAAACCAGGATTCAAGCCAGTCTGTATGCTTTATAGCATCTAGTAAAATAGCTGTTCGACCAGCGTCTAGTTGGCGGATACCAAGCATTCCCGTGAAAGCACCCAAGAGCTTCAGTTCCAACTTCCTTGATCGGGTGCTTGCGAAATCGACCGTCTACATGGGGAATGCCTGGTTTTGATTTGCTGCCACGGATGTGTTCCTTGAGTGTATGCCTGCGACATCCGGCGTTCACATGGGGAACTGCTGGTCTTGAGTTGTGTTGCCACTGACGTGTTTCTTGAGCGTGTGCTTGTGACATCGAGCGTCCAAATGGGGAATGGCTGGTGCTGCCATGCTAGTGGTGTGGAATAGCAGCAGAAGGATTTGCTGGTTTCATGAGAAACTTTCTTGTATCATCTGTTGTTATCGAACAGGAGTCTCGGTCACATTGTTTGGTCGGGAATCAACAATCTCCCCTCCGCGCATCCACGCAATGCCTGTATCGCGAAACAGTGTCCACACTGGGGTTCACATACAGAATCGGGGAGAAAATGTCCTCTAGATGGAATTGAAAGCTGCTTGAAAAAACCCGAGTCCGCGACATCTCCTGACAAGTGAGCTTATGCAACTCGGAGACTGCAAACAGCGTCCACAAATGGGCTTGAAAAATTGCTGCTTGTAACGGCCGTGCATATACACGAAACGAGTCATAATTGCACTCAAGACCTGGCGTCGGCCACATGTGCGAGGATTCTGCACGTTCTTCACGGCTGCTGCAAACACGGCGTCTACATCCGGATTCGTATTCCCTGATGCATAATTTCGCCATTGATGTATATTTGCTCCGATGCAGCGTGGTAGTGCACAAGCAGCACGACGTTTGACGAAGCGTGCATTCCGCAGTTCCTAGTACAACCGGAGCTAAGGCCTTGTAGAATCAAGACCGAGGCAGTTAGTCCAAGAGTTCATATGTCAACAGGTCGCACCTCGTCAGCACCTTCATACCGTCCCCCAATTTTTAACCTCCTAATATGCATGAGCATTTCGACCTGGAGGCGCCCGACGAGTTGGTTAAAAGGGACCAAAACCTCCTGCTAATACTGAATATCGTACTGTAGTGTGCGAAGCCACGGCAGCCTCTGCAATTTTGACAACATCGAGCCGATAGAGTAACATCCTGCAAAAAAATTTGACACTCAACACCTGAGACCGGTACGGAGCATGCCAAAGTCCGATGCTGTATCATTAAGTGTTCATTCGCCTTCCCGGTAGGCCTTCTAAACTGAATTCCCGAAATGTCATCCCGGCAGGTTCGGGAATCCACTCTTCAAAGATTGGCCACGACCCCCCAAGTCTAGATACTTTCAATACTTTTGTCACAATGTGAGGTACGAAGCACTATACTCGTTCACGCACGCAGTCAGAGCTTGCGCTAGGCTTAGGTGAAGAGCACCGTATCAAGCGCTTTCAACACCTGCGTAACAGTACTACAAGATCATCTGTCTGAATCCTATAACTTCTTAGTGTTATGAGTAGTGACCATGCAGTACTCTTATTGCTTCTGTATGACGGTCGACTGTCCGCACTGTAGTGTCGTATGGCAGCTCACTCTGACTTTGCTCCGGCGAGCCCACTGTTTTTGTGCGCGAGTCCGGGGCCTACTCGGCAGTCCTCTTCCCCGAAGCCGATTCCAAACCCAATAGCCTACCCTTCCTACCCTCATGAACCTATTTCGATTTTGAATGCTCGAGCCGAAATCAAGCCAAGGTCCCCTCCACGCTGGAGGGCCATGCGCCCAAGGTTGGGACATCCCTGAGGCAGGTGTCAGTGCTTTTTTTTAGGGTGGTTGGGGTGTGGAAGAGATGACTGGGGGGATCTTCGGTCAGGGGGTGCTGGCACTAAGATCATCCAGTAAAGCAGCTCCACAACGAAGCGTAAAGTAAAGCAATGAGCAAGGCTGAATCGTGGCTTTGCATCATTTACACCCATTCCATTTGGCGGTTGGGACGGCTGCTGCCCAAGCTTGCAGTCCAGACCTGTTCGAGTGGCTTGTGCTGCGAAGGCCTATGCACATATATGTACGTACATATCCGTTTTTTTGAATTGGGCTTTCGCCCTACAGGATATCTACAAAAGAAGTTCCAGCGACGACCACACGGCCACCATAACCTAGTACTGTACAAACCTCCATCCCTTGGCCACTGCCGGAATCCTGAATTAGTCTTTCTTCTAATGTGTGGAATGTAGCGATCGTCGGTAGATGAGCGGGTATCTCGAAGGCTTAGCAATTTTGGTTCGTCAAAATAGCTCCCTACAATCTCTTGTTCAACGATTAGTATTCCTGGTTCGCATCAATTGGTGGATTGGCTCGGATAAACGAAACTAGTGTCTGCACATTAAAATCAGAATTCAGCTAGCATGTTACATGTACTTCCGCACAACACGGCCCCGCAGACTCGAGCAGGAAATTCTGAACCACACTTCAGGACTACCTCTACACGGGTCCTTGTTTTGCTATCCTTCAACCGCCCAGCGACGCGAGGCCAGACTTAGCGGCATCTTTGGGCGTGGATCCTCATGGGTCGCCTGGGCCGATGTGCGCCCAGCGGCCAAGGATACTTTGGCCGTTTTGAGATGTTGGGCAATCCTGGGATGCCGGGGTTGGTGGCTTGGCATGCAGCGAGGCCTCTGAGAGTTCGTAGCATGGTGCAAGTTCGCGAGTGAAAGGGGTGAGAGTATGTTCGGTTCCTCAAAGTTCGATGCCTGACATCCATGAAATTGAGCTTGGGCGGAGAGGTACAACATTCGGGAGAGCGGCATGATGCAGCTCGGAATTGATGCTCGACTTGCACAAGAGACGCAGCACTGGTTGCCTAGGACCACAGATTAGGATGAGGAGTTCCGAGTCTGCCAAGAGAGCACATCCTGCCCGAAGTCGGGCAACATCCAGGGCCGGGTCGTCAAGTCCAGAGAGAACAAGAGCTTTGGCTGCGCAGATCGCTTTCGCGGAGATGCCAGGCCTCAGGAGCTGTTTCAACTTTGTCCCCCTTGCAAAGCATTGAAGCACCGAAGTCGGTGCTCGCAGATACTGTGTATACATTCAGTCCAGGGTCCATTAACAACTTCTGAGCAGCAGTCTTGCAAGTGCGGTTGTTTAAGGAGCTCCCACGCCCGTCAGACTTCCTGTCAATCGGTGCATCGAGTGTCAAGATGAATTCAGTCGTGAAGTGAGGGTAAGCATCAAGAGCCAAAAGATATGAGGCACGGGGTCACTCGAATGATGGCGTGCCTGCCCGAGTGTGAATGTTGAATTGCTCGCCAGGGGTACCAGCATCGGTCCGGGACAGTACCGCCGGAAAGACTTTGCGCTCGGGCCTTGTTGCTACCTCACGCATGTTCCGCTCATGATGTCTACACGGCTGAGAGCTGCTGGTGGTATCTGGTGGTGCTGCCGAACGACGACAACGACAACGACGACAAAGCGCCGACACCGGCACCGACACCACCGCAGTCTCTATGACCACCCATACCACCAACACAACTACCAGCAACACGACAAACACCAGCAACAACAACTACGACGACGGCGAGGACGAGCACCACTACTACTACTACTACTACCACCACTACCACTACTGCTACTACTACCACTCCTACTGTTACTACTACTACTACTACTACTACTACTACTACTACTACTACTACTACTACTACTACTACTACGACGACTACCACTACTACCACTACTACCACTACTACCACTACGACCACTACCACCACTACCACTACCACTACCACTACCACGCACTACACTACCACCCACTACCACTACCACTACCACTACCACTACCACTACCACTACCACTACCACTACCACTACCACTACCACCACTACCACTACCACCACTACCACTACCACTACCACTACCACTACCACTACCACTACTACTACTACTACTACTACTACTACTACTACTACTACTACTACTACTACTATTACTACTACTACTACTACTACTCCTGCTGCTGCTACTACTACTACTACTACTCCTGCTGCTACTGGCACTCCGACTCCTACTCCTACCACTCCTCCTGCTCCTGCTCCTCCTGCACCTGCTCCTGCTCCTGCTGCTGCTCCTGCTCCTACTCCTGCTGCTGCTATCGCTGCTGCTGCTACTACCTTTGCTACTGCAGCTACTGCTACTACTCCTACTCCTACTCCTACTCCTACTCCTACTCCTACTCCTACTCCTACTCCTCCTCCTCCTCCTACCCCTGCTCCTACTCCTACTCCTACTCAGACTCTTACTCCTCCTACCACCACTGCCCGACGACAACGCCTGCTACTACCACTGCTACCACTACCACCAATTCAATTTCAATTGGACGCCGTGCGAGCGGGCTCAGCACGTTGCGGGCGATTGCCGGGGGCACGCTCTGCATTAGAGAATTTTCATTTCTCTGAGCTGCCCTCGGGTCTCCTTTGAAGCCCTTGCGCCAGCTCCAGCATCGGGTGAAGGCAACTCGAACGCACTTGCTGGTCTCAAAGTAGTGGCCATCAGTCTGGAGCTCCTTGGATCTTGTGAGTTGCGCCGAGTGGCGCTCGCGGAGCAAATACACCGGGCCAAATTGGCGAGTCTGATTCCATCCTGGCACGGGGGTGTGGCCCATGTCGTTCGTGAGGAGCTTCCAGAGCTCCTTGCAGAAGATCATGTAGTCGAGGTTGGCGACCAACGTGAGGATCTTCTTGCTGAAGGCGTGGTTGATCGCGCAAAGGATCAGTGGGTGGCGCGGCTGTCCATAGATGATGCCTTGAAAGATGTGGTCGTTTTTGACCCCAATGCCCATGATCAAGTACTCTTGGGGCAGGACACCCTCCTCCCCGTTTGGGCAGTGCCCCAGCTCCTTACTCTTTCTGACCTGGACATTGTCCCATTCTGCAGCGATGTGCATGGGCACGTCATCGAAAGGCATTCGCAATGCCATCTTGATGTCCAGGTACAAGCCGCCATGCTGGTAGTGGTAAACATACCTGAAAACATCGGCCTTGTGAGCTGGTTGCATCAGGCTTCGAATCAACTTTTCACCGCTGTCTCCAGCGTGCAACCGAAGAGTCTGGAGCAGGACCTCGTCGTTGCAGAAGGTGCGCTCGAAGTCAGCCAGGAACTCCTTGCACATGTTCTTGGGGCCGGGGTGGTCATCGTGCATGTACGTCTGAAACATGGTGCGGGGCATTGGCCGGCGGCCAGCATTTGGCTCGAGGAAGGGCCGAAAGACCCAGGCCTTGCCCGTGTGGCGTGCTGCCACCGCTCCAATCTCAGACAGTGTCTCCGAGCCACGCAGGTCAGCTGTGGCATTCATCTCTTTGTGGACATTGTCCCCCGTGCAGTTCCATGAACAGATGATCAGAATGTGGATCACATTTGGCTTCAGGCGCCTCATAGTTCTGATAGAACGGGACAGGAGCAAGCCAATGACCCGATCAGCCACCAGCGGTCTGAAATGACAGTTGTTCTGGTTGTAGATCTGGTCGACCAGAGGAGAAGGGCCTTGGAGGCTCATGATGGTCTCTTCGCCGAGCTCATACCTGCTAAGGCCATATTGGTCGCGAATTCCCGCTATATCCAATCATAGTCCTTCTGCTTGTGGGGCAACAAGCTTTGGCGCAGGGGGATCATGCGCACGCTGACTTCATCGTAGTAGTGGTCGCGGAGGAAGCTGATCAATGCTTGGCTCTCCGCAGGGTAGGGGCGAGTCTCGCCCAAAACCCGAATGAACTGCCAGGCCAGCACTTCCAGCACTGCCGGGTTCGGCGGCTTGTTGGCCGCATATTCTGCGGTAAGAGTGGTTCCCGGGCAGGAGATGACATAGCCGTGCAGTGCACCCTGGTTAACATCGATGATGCCATATGATTGGCCATTGGCCCCCTTCCAAAGCAAGTGTTGCAGGGTGCTGTCACTGAGCACCAGAAAAGGCTTCGGCGTCGTTGGTGTCGCCGCCATGTCAGGCACCAGGGCGTGCTAAGCGCCACGCCGCAGCTTGTCACGAGGGAGTGGAGGAAAGCTGTGAAAGGAGTGTGCAAAGTGAGAGATCTACCTGCTTGGAACTGTGCATGCTGCTGTGTCTGCAACTGTTCTGCCAATGGTCTTGAACCTGGCTATGCGACGTAAACACCTCTGAGGCAACTTCGGCACAGCAGCAATCCTGAGCAGGTCCTAGGAACCGCAGAACTCACAAGGGGCACCGGTCCAGGCCATTCGGGGTCAGCATCGTTGGTCAGCGCCAACAAATCAGTCGATGGGTGTGACCTTAGTATCAGCGTCGACGTGGTGTAACATGCATGTGCAGTAGTGACTCGGAGAGCGTGGGTACAGGTTGCGCCAGAGGCCTATTTTTCAGGATTTGGCAATGCCTTGAGCCCGTTGGGCATTTGCTCCGTAGACAAAATCTAGAAAGCCCGCGGTCTTGCTCTCGTCCTGCTGGTATCAGAGTACGAGCTGCAATCCCCAGGTCTGAAGCAGAAAGGCGACCGGGCATTGCCCCCTCAAGACACACCTCAAATCCCAAGTACTGCAGATACTTAGCTGAATGGGCAGAGAGCTTGTCCGCCTCCCGAATGTGGTACGTGCCTAGGATGAGGCGGCGGCCCGTCCACGGCAGTATCAGGTGTCGTCTCGAAGCTTCGAAGCTGAGGTAGGGCAGGGTAACGGGATGCACATGCCCTTTGGGCCCGCCGTAGTCCAACAGGTAGTCGCCGGTCTCGTCCTCCACAAAGAGGTGGCCGCCCTCGAAGTTGGAGAGAGGGATCAAGAGGTTATTCACCCCTTCCTGATTTTTGTTTGTATGTAGGCCGGAGGCCATGTTGCGTGCCAGGAATAGGGTGGTGCGCGGATGGTGTCCTGCCATGGTGTGCACGACCGTGTTGAGGAGGCACGCCGCCATCGGAAAGCGGTGCGTCTGTGTCCTCAGTCCGGCCATTGGCCCCTGTACGTATGCTCCCAGCGTGACAATTTGCTGGTCCGCAGACTGAGGCAGTGCCACCGATGCATGCCGACAGGTCGAAGTAGTCGGCAGGAGGTCCAGCAGGGCATCCAGTTGTTCAAAGGTAACCCACCTGCGATGTAGATAGTCCGCACCAGCCTTTTCCACTGCGCGCAGAGTGAACTGGTGCTCCATTTCGTCCATGTATGGAGGAAGTTGGAGACACACCCCTGGCGCCTGTGCCTGAGGGGTGTATAAGCTCAGCGCCGAGCAGATGGAGCCTTGCCGTTCCTGTTCTAGATCTTCCCAGACCCCCGGGTGGATCTATAAATTAGATCCACCAGCCATCTCGGAAAATAGAGACGATGTGGTCAGGCGACTCTAAAAATTAGAGACGATGGCAATCGTTGTACGGAAAATCTTGACATCATTTGAGCATTGTACAAAGCTTGAGCCGTTTGAGCCAGTATATATAGTAATTTGCATCATGAGCATTAAAAAAGCTTGAGCCGTTTGAACCAGAATATATCGTATATTGCATCATGAGCATTGTACAAAGCTTGAGCCGTTTGAGCCAGATAAACCAGAAGCCCCAAACCCGAAAAAAATGAATTAAGCGTTTTGGGTTGAAGAGTTTGAAGGCTTTGGCTTCGGGTTCGAAGTTTACGAGAAGGAGAGCCAGGGAGAGGGAGAAAGAGAGAGAGAGTTTGCGAAGGTTTGGGCTTCGGGGTTCGCGGTTGAGGAGTTTTGGGGTTTTGAGGCGCTGGTTTACGGTTTTTAGTGGTTCTGGGCTCCGGGGTTTTGCTTCGGACTGCGAGACGGCCTTTTTTTGCACTCGCCCTCTGCAGCATGATCCTCCAGCTTCTTTTGCTGAAGAAAGTTGCATTTCCAGTGAATCACATTCGACCAAGTGCTGCGATGAGCAGAACGAGCAATCTTGGCTATGACCCCATTCAAGCTTTCGTCACGATAGGTGGAGTACAATCGCGGATTCCCTCGGTGAAGAGCCCGCTGAATCATGTGCACAAGAAGATGACATTTCGGCCTCCATACACCGCCCGCTTTCAAGTAAAGCGTTAAAAAGCGTAGGTACAGCTGCAGCAGGGCCTGGCAATGTTGTCGAGTGAACTGTCGGAATTCCAACTCCAGCAGCTCGTCCATGGCATGGGCAGCTTCTGCACAAGCCGTCAAGAGTGCGAACTTGCGAGCCAGCTCATCCGGCTGCTTGGCGAATTCATCGGCGTACTTGTGCAGCAGCCAGAGGACGAATCTAAGAAGACCGTGCGACTCAGCTGCTTTTGCCGACAAGTTGTAGGTATCCTCATTTCCAATCATGCCCATAGTCAAGTTCCAGACCTCGGGTCCCTTCTCTCGCCACCTTTGGTCGGTAGATCTCAGGTTCTTGTAGAATTGAAAGAGCTCGGCTTTAATGGCCAAAAGGGCCAGTTCTCGAAGTTCTTCTATATTCACACTGCGGGGTGAAAACACACCCGAAGCAATGAAACTATGCATAGCCAGGCTTATGAACTGCTGCATGGGTGCGAGGTGCCAGGCGTGCATAATATCAATTGACCAACTATCCTGTGTAACCCCCTCGAGCGAAAACAGAGGGCACATGTGGGTCAGCCTTGCATCTCTCGGCGCAATCCAAAAAATCACCCTCAGAGGAAGCTCTTGGTATTCCAGCTGGCTGACATCTGGAAGCCGGCGGCTGGGCTCGAGTCTCCAGTTCTTGCGGAGGCCGTAGCGGGGCAAGTCTGCAGTGAGATGTCGTCCACGATCTAGTCGGCTGTATTCAAGATTTCTGGCAATCGTTCGCAGCATCTCCGCCGTATCCACAAGAATTTCCTTTCAGGTGGGCTCGATCCGGTTTCGACATACTAAAAGAAAATCAACCCAAAAAGATGAAGCTACTGCTTAAAGCTGGGCTTTCAGGGATTAGGCATTTAACGGTTTGGGTTTACCTTACATATGGGTGCTTGTGAGAATTGGCGACCCAAATAGAGCACCCTAAATAATAGGATCCTTGTGATAAAGACCCCAGAATAAGGTGCCCCTATCTTCGGAAATTAACTGCCGTATTGGAAGCTTATTCACCCTGGTGAACATGCCGATGTCGTTGTTGTAGTCTTCCGACGAGTACAGCAAGTGGCCCACATTGTCCAGGGTAATGCTGGGCACCTTGTCTGCAGTCATGTCATCTTGCGAAATACGGCAAAGGGCACACGGGTGGCTGTTGTGATTCCAGAATCTGCCCCCTATGATTTCCAAATAAGCCGGCCAATCGCACTGGATGTCAAGCACACAATACTTCAGCGATGCTTGCAGCTTCTCCAGATCTTGCACCCAGGCATCCAGCAGCGGGAAGATGGTGCACCAGCCGCGACAGCCACAGGGGCACATGTCTTCAGAACCTCCGGCGAAGGCCGGGCTTGAGTGCATTAGTTTCGGTGCCTTACTCTATTCAGAAGCTCCGGCGAATGCCGGGCTTGATTGCAGTAGTTTCGGGGCTTTATCATAAGGATCCGATTAGTTAGGGTACTCTATTTGGGTCCCCCATTTCCAGAATCACCCATATGTAAGGTAAGCCCAAACCGTCCATGGTAAGGTTTACAATCTACAAGGATTTCATATGCGACTCAACCATCAAAGAACCAAACAATGGATGTGCTTGTTTAGCGGAGGGGCGAAGCAGAAAGGAAACGAACTTCTGCTCGGATAAGATATCAGTCACGTAGAAGCCAGTGAAAGAATCGTGCACCGAGTAGCGGACCCCATCCCAGTAAAGAGCGATGGGCCGGACAAGTTCCGTGTTTCCAGCAGCTCGGGCCCTTTGAACAACAGGGTGATTGTCGTAGCAGGGCAAATTCTGAAGCATCTTTCGGAAGTTGATTTCGTCCTTGCTTTGTACCGAGGGCACCTCCACGAACTTTCTAAAGAGTGTCGAAGGAAGCATGATGGGCACTTTTTCTGCCACTCGTCGAGACTGCCATTTCTCGAACAAAGGCACAGTCACGTAGTCAAGATCCGGTTCAGGATATTCTTTCCCAGCATGTAATTTGATATGCTCAAACCCGTGACGAGCGGCTTGCTCGGGATTCAGGGCCCTTGTAGCCACACCAGTACCTCCAGCTTGTGTCACATAGTGACACAATTCTGCCACATCCGATCCAGGTAAGGATCCTGTGCAAAACCTATCAAGCAAGAACATTCGTAGCTGCTGGCCTGCAAGCACCTGGTCCGGCGTCGGCCCTGAACCCTCATCTTCCTGTTGTACTTGGGCAAAAGCACGTTTCCGCGTCTCGGGTGTATGGACCCATTTCAACTGCAATTGTGACTACATGCTTGGCTTCACATTCTCTGCTTCTATACCTTAAGGCTTGGAAGTAAGGCCTGCCCACACCAACAGAAACATGCAAAGCTGGACGTCCTTTCACATCCGGACCATTCTCCGACATGAACAAGCATTTTAGACCTTGGAATGAAGGCCTGCACTGTTTGTTCATGCAACATGAGGTCACATGCCTTAGCTGCACTTCAGCTGCGGGCACACAAACACAAACATGAACAACTGTTCCTTCACATGCCGTGCGGGGCCACTCTCGTCCACGAGCCGACTCTGCAAGCTTTGCTACGAACACCCTCTTTTTTGAAGCATTCGGATGATCGGACTTCAGCCTAGGTTCTCACCCCTCCCAGGCCATCACCCGATCGGAGACACATGAACACTTGGCAGTGTGTGCAACCATGCCTTGGTTTCTGTTTGTTGTGCTACTGAACATGTTTCCGAGAAAGCTCCCCTGCTTTGGGTCCTGGGTTGCGGTTGCGCGCCGAGGCATGGCTGCACATCACCTCATATCAGTACCAAATCGATGGCACTGCAAGTGGATCCTACCTGCCAGCAAAAACTCTCAGACAGACGAAAAGGAGCCGCCTACGTTACTTTCGCTCCGGGTCCTCTTCTTCTAACAAACATTTCGCTTAGGAGTGTGTTGCCCTATAATCCTGTAGATGAGCTGTTTGCCACATGATTTTGTATAGTATGGAACAAATGTTCCACTGTGGTGTTTAGGCTCAAGGGACGCACCCAAGACAGCCGTGCGCCCGAGGAAAAGTGAAGTGCGAATATCTGTGTGAAGTGAAAGGGTCCGGAACGTACCCGTAAAGCGTTTTATGGTAGCGGAGCTGAAGGCCAGGACCTTCGGCTGAAGAAGAGCCCAATACAAGGAGAAAAGAGCCTTGGGCCCCAGTGTCACGGAAAGTGAAAGAAGGAAAGTTGAATGGCCACGCCAAGTCCAGCTGGAGACGCGGATTTGCCTGTGTCCCCTGGTCACGGTGGTCAAGGAGGAGATACACCAAGTGATACGCCAATGGCGATGCCTGCACCAGACGGAGTTGCAGGAGGATCCCTTCAGGCCCTGATAGGGAACCTGTCGGCAGCAGCGCAAGCTTTGGCAGTGCTGCAGGTACAGGAAGTACCAGAAGTTACGACTCTGCAGCTAAGCTGGTGAAGAGTCCGGATGTGTTCGCTCCAAAGAATCTGGAGGAGGAAGTTTCACAGTGGCCAGATTGGAGTTTCAGTTTCAAAGTGTTTGTGGGCTTCATTGATCCCACCTATGCAGAAGAGTTGAAGAAAGTGGAGCTGGCACCACCAAATCCAGCAGATTATACAGTTGGTGAAAGAGAGAGAAGTACAAAGCTGTATGCGATTTTGGCCTCGTATCTTAGGAACAGGCCATTGAAGTTATTGAAGTCAGAAGGAAGTCCAGATGGATATTCTGTCTGGAGGAGACTGTTTGAAGAGTTGGAGCCGTCAAGCCGAACAAGAGGGCTGGCAATGGCTCAAGCTCTAGTGAGCTTTCCCCAGATGACGAAGGGGACTTCTATCTTAGACTATCTGCTTACCTACGAAAAACTGGTTGCAGAATACGAAAAACTGTCCGAAGGAAAACCCTACGATGAGAATCTGAAAATCGGAACAGTACTCAAAGGTTTGCCAAATGAGTTAAGGAAACATATCCTGATAGGATTGACCCCTACGACGAAGTACGCAGACATCAGGAAAAAGTTGCTGGAGTATGAAAGGAGTACCCAATCGTGGAACGCGGAGAACATTTTGCAGTCTTTCAATATGGAGAGCGCAACGAAGAGTACGCCCTATTCTGGGCCACAACCAATGGATATTGATCGAGTGAAAGGAAAAGGAAAAGACAAAGGAAAAGGAAAAGGTCACGACAACAAAGGAAAAGGAGGAAAAGGGTACAACAACAAAGGAAAAGGAAAAGGAAAAGGATACGACAACAAAGGAAAAGGAAAAGGAAAAGGATACGACAACAAAGGAAAAGGAAAAGGTGGTTATAGAAATGCACGAGCAGTGGACGCTGGTGGCTACGGGAAAGGAAAGTTCATAGGAGAGTGCCACATATGCGGAAAGACAGGACACAAAGCAGCTGATTGCTGGCAGAATCAAGGAAAAGGAAAAGGAGGTAAAGGCAAAGTGAGACAGGTAGAAGAGGAAGGAACCCATCAAGGAGATCACGAGAAGAGTTCCTCTAGCAATGCCCCTCCTACGAAGAATGAGACTGGTCAAGTGAGGCAGATCACAGCTGAAGCAGCGCGCCAAGCAAGAAGAGTAGAGATGACACAAGAGTGGAACGATGAGGATGAAGAGCTCAACTTTGTGAGATTGTGTCAAGAGTTTGAAGGTTTGGTTCAAGGAGAGCTGAGAAGAGTTGAGGAGTTTGATATCTCTTCGAGCGATGAAGTGGAAGAGATTGAGGAGGAACCGACCGATGGTTTGATGGAGTGGTACCAAGGATGGTGGTTCTTGGAAACAGAAGTTGAAAGAAGTGTGAGAATGGTTTCTGAAGGAGATGATGTGAGAAGAGCAGCAAGAGAAGTGGATGCATGTGAGGTAGTGCTCGACAGTGGAGCTGATTGCCATGTGTTGCCTATGGATTGGGCAGAAGAAGTCGGAGAAACTTCGAACTTTGAGTACCATCTGAAAGATGCGCAAGGGAAAGTGATCCCAACGTTGCCTGTAAGGCAGAATGTGACGTTTGTTTTCACGAAGGAGTCTGGAAAGAAGTTAAAGATCACTGACAGTGCTGTTTGCGGCAATGTCACCCAACCTTTGTTTGCGGTAGGAAAGATGTGGAAGCTAGGTTGGGGTACGGTGAATGAAGATGGAAGATTGTGGTTGAAGAAAGGAAGTGTTCGGATACCGATATACTTCAAAAGGAATTCCTCAATGGCGAGGATGTGTATACGGAGACTTGAAGGAGAAGAGATGACA